CACCTTATCAGCAACAAAAATGGTGAAATATTCAACTTTAGCCAATTTTGAGACTGAGATCAAACTCTTTCTCATTTCGGGAGCATAAGGTATTTGTTTCAATATCATCGTTCCCCACATTTAAGATTCATAACATAGTCCCCAACGCCCAAGATCTCAGTCTTCTGATTTCCACCCATGTAGATAAACTGCTTTCCAGGGGTCCATGGGTTGCGGTATCCTTTCGTGGTGTTCGACACATGGGCTGTAGCACCCCAGTCAAAACACCAACTAGCATCCTTGGGATCAACAAGCATAGATTCAAATACAGCACAAGCATGTTCTTTATTCTCCCCGGCATTATTTCTTTTTTGTTTGCAAAATCTAGCTGTGTCCCACTTTACCGCACTTATAGCACTCTCTCTCCCCTTTCTTATTTTTGTTTTTGTTTTTAATAAAGTTACCCTTGCCCTTACCCTTTTTCTTAAAACTTGGCGCATTAGGCTTAAAGTTAGCCACATGCACCGCATCATGGGGTGCGGGTGCATCACACACACTTTTTCTCTTTTCCTCGGCCTTAACAAGGACATAAAGTTCTTTTAACTCGGGAGTATTCTCTTGGGCAGAGAGAGATGATATAAACACCTCCCAAGAAGCTGGGAGAGTGTTCAAAAGGTCACAAATCTGCATGGGCTTGGGAGGCTTCATATTGATAGGTTCGAGTTCATGTACTAGTGCCCAGAACACGTGCACATGATCTGCAACTTTTGCTCCATCCGCCATCTTTAGCTCGTGCTACTTCTTTAGAGCTAGGGTTTACTTGACCAAAGAAGGATCTACAAATTCCTTATCCAGTTTTTCATGTATCGCTTTGGCGGTCTTCAAACTCTTATATTCCGATGCATAAGAGTCTTGCATCGCAACAAGCAATATATGCTTGGCAAGCATGTTTTTCCGCTCCCACTGAGAATAATCATCTTTTACGTGTTGCCTCTCATATGCGTTCCCTCTTGGAACTGGTGGAGGGTCTTAGGTAAGCGTATCATGTAGATTCCTCTCAAAGAGGACATATCCCACTTTATGCTTCCAAGACGCGTAATTGCTTCCATCGAATCTTTCTGATTTCAAGAGTTTGGCCATGAAAAATCTTTGCGGTAATGACTCTTTGAATCAAATTACAGCAATAATAATAAAAAATAAAATAAAATGGCAGCAAGAATTCCCAGCTTTGATACCAATGAAAGATGAACTATGTGACCGGGCAAGTCAATAGCAATTAAAATTTTTTCTACTCTTTTATACTTATTGCCACCCGGATCACTTATAAGTGTCCAAAATACAATTTTGACTTAATGAAATAACCAAGACCTATCACTTGCATGCTATTAAAAGAAAATTACATTCATCATGTAGAACTGAAAATTACATAAGAAAGCAAAAGAAGCAACAAAAGCACGAAATCATGAAACAACTGGTACCTTGCCTCAGGTTACCCCCACGGACTTTGTACACCCCAAACCGGGTGTCCTCCACCTATGGTGCATGGGATCTTGGTTCAAGAATACACTTCACAATTAAGGAAGCCTAGGCAAAACCCTTAGAGATCATTACATGGGATTTCCTTGAGCAAGGCTCAGCACATGTGCATGAGGCAAGAACTTAAGGCTAGGGCTTGTGTGGCTTGGGCATGCTATCCCTTAGGGTTAACCTTCCTAAACCCTAATTTTTTATGAGAGAAAGCAAGAGAGGAGAGGCTAGAGTGGGGTGTGCCCCCTTTGGTTGCGTGGAGAGAGAGAGAGAGAGCGAGAGATAGATTTGAAATAGAACCCCATAGCTACTATTATTAGACAAGAGACTAGGGTTTTGCTATTATTATGAAGTTTAATCTTGACCTTTGATCTTGGAGACCTATGGGGTAAAAAGATCTCAACCATTCATTCCTTAGACCGACCATCATGATTAAAGGAATGATGTGGAACCTTATCCCTCAGTTTCCATAACTCCATTCGCATCAAATATTTTGTGTAGAGAAAGTATTTAATAAATATTTGATATCTTACACTTTTCTATCTAGTTTCAATTCAAATCTCTGCAACTTAGCTTTCGAAAACTTTAAAATAACACATGCCTTAGAAGGCACATGAAACAATAAGGAAAGCTTGCATGGAGTGGGGCGCACCGCCCATATGGTGTCCATGTGGGCCCCATGCCCCACACATTGGTGGACCCATTGAACCCCATTGGGCCCTCAATACATTAGTATTAATTTTTAAATATTAAAACAAATTTTAGAAGACCTCCAAATATTTTATTTTTCTCTCTGACTAAAATAAATCCAGAAAATTAATTTTTCCTCATATAAAAATCATCTTTCAATAATATAAAATACCCAGCTTCTAATTGGGTATACAAAGTGAAATATAAACCTATTGGGAGCATTGAAAGGTTTAAGGAAAAACTCATGGCAAGAGGATTTAACCAACAGCATGGCTTGAATTACGAGGAAACCTTTAGTCTAGTTGTTAAAATTGTACGGTAAAGGGTTGTTATATCCCTTGCTTTCATGCACGATTGGACACTTTATCAATCAGATGTTAAAAATGGTTTCTTGCATAGAGAATTAAATAAGTATATATGGAACAACTACCTAGGTTCAATGCAGCAAACCCAGTTGGATATGTTTTTAAGTTAAAGAGATCTATATGGGCTGAAGCAGGCATCTAGAACTTGGTTCTCTAGTTTTTATGATACATAGAGATCTTTGTTGTGAATTTCGGTCTTCACTGTCCTTTTGGCTTGGCCATTTGTTGGCATTTTTCTTATTACATTTCTTAGTATAAGTTTGGACTTGAGTTTTTCAAATTTTCTGCATTCTTCTCTTCCTATTTGGTCTGATCAGAATATTTAGCAGTTTTCCTTCTATGGTAAAAAATCTTTTATGAGTTTGAGCATTATAGTCTAATGTATGGAGCTGTTTGTCTCAGCCATTAGGATTTAGAAGGTCATGTGAAATTCCCTTGTGTGGCATCTTGATTGGCACAAAATGATTGAAGATTTTTTAGTACTTTAATGCTTTATTATTTGTGACTCCACCTAGTAATCTTTGAGAATGGATCCGTTTGACTCCACCTAGTAATCTTTGAGAATAGATCCGTTTGACTCCAATTTTCATTAGAGCAATGGTTGTATCCTTTGTTATGTATGAGATATACCTTTTCAACATACTGCTTTTATGCTTTTTGCCATGTATTTAGACGTATATGTGACTGGTGGAACTTTGATTATTACTATTGATTTTATGTTCTGCATATTTGATCCTAGGGGACACTAGTGCCACTTCATTTGACAATGAGTTCATATTGGTGATTTAAACCCTTGTTTACTGAGTTATCAGTGAGGTCGCCGCGCTGAAATCTCAAGTAGCATCTAAATTCGAAATCTCTATGAAATCAATTGGGATGAATACTTTTTTTCCCCCATTCTTGAAAGGATATGGTACCTGAGTCTACAGATCAAGTTGTTAAGCCTTGCATAACTTATGTTGGTTTCATATAATCTGTTTCATCATGACATATTATGGTGTTTATTCTATTCATGTTAGTAGATTACTACATTGCTACTTTAAAGTTCTCAAGCTTATAAGTGTCGAATATATTTCTTTCCCAGTATTGTGCCAGGAGAACATTCACAAGGCACCTTATCATTGGTTACAGTATTTGAATGTTTGTGTGCGCTTGTGCTTGCCTAACAATTTATTTATCTTCTGAATCAATTGATCATTCTTGTCTACCGTATGGTAGCAACCCTGGGGTCACGATTATCCCTTTTCACATTGGAGCTAAGCTATTTCTTTTGTCGTTGTTGCTGGACCAATTTTTAGGTATTCCATCTAATAGTTTCTTAAATAATGGATGGGCATAGTTAGGGCCACATTAATTCCCGTCAAGAAGTTTTATTACAGAATACCTTTAAGGGAGATCTGCAAATTTTGTAAATATACCATGCTGCTTGATCTTAGGTTTTTTCTGATGTACTAATTATTCAAGGCCTACCTTTTTTATTTGATTTAACTTGACATTGGTCTGAATATGAATTTAGCTTGGCAATATATTGACTTTGCAATGGCAGATACGATGAGAAATCCAAAATCTTACAGCCAATTCTCTTCCATTTTAAGTCTAAATATTACATGAGAATTTGATGATTACTATTTAAGTCACAGTGCGTCTTAATTACTAGAACTGTGACTTATGATGGTGGTTCTGGAAACTAATTGCTGTGACATCTTGAACCATGCCTTACTATTCTTTAGTTCATTGATATGGTTCTTTACCAGATGGACTGTTTATTTTTGGGAAATCTATCATGCCAAACCTAAAGTATAAAGTGTTCTGACCCATGATTATGTGTACTTTGATGATTTTCTTGAAATTAAGTCCAAAGAAACTGATGATATAAATAGCTCATCTCTTTGGCTGCATTTTGGTTTATTTTTCTGTATTTTTTATGTTTGTATTGTCAAGTGGTAATTTATGAATATATCTTTCTTTAGTTCATTTTGAAAGTCACTGTGGTCTCTTGAATACTGTAATTGAACCTTTTCTTAGCAGTTTCAGGTTTTGCCTTCTTTTATCATCATTCAAGACTTCTCCCAATTATTTGGGGTCTGCACGTTTCATTTTCCTTAATTTTTTTATATTTGTTAGTATTTAGAAAACACAAGGGTTGTTTCACTTGGATTGCACACAGATTATTTGAATTTTCTTGGCCAGCAAATCAATTCTTTTTACTGGTTTAAAATTGACATCATTGATTCTACTAAGAAAACATGAGTATGAGAAGCTTTCAAATATATCTGTACTATGCATGTTTAATGTCCATGTGACCATATTTTCTGTTGATTATTATAGTACTATGTATGTTTAATGTCCATGTGACCATTTTTTCTGTTGATTATTATGCTGGGTACAGTATATTCTTTAAGCACGTGTTCTTAAATATAACTCATTTCCTTCTATTAGCTATCTCTTGGGGATGCAAGGGCTTATTATCTTTCAACTGCAAAGAATGAACTGGGGGTCGTATCTGCACAAAGTGCTGCAGGTATGAGTTTGTATTTATTAGATTTTCTGTGGAACCATATGCATAGTTGAGACGTCAGCTCCTGAAATGGTCTTGTAAATTTCCTAATCCAAGCACCATGTGCTTAATATAATTGCTCATGATGCACCAACGTGAATAAGCTTCCTTGTCTCTTTTTCAATAATGTTGAGCTTACCATGCGTCATTTCTGGAAATGCCTTGATTTTAATTATGGTGTGGTCTCAAATTACGTTTGATGATGGATATGCTTAGACATTGAGCTCACTATTTTTGTTGTTCATTGAATGATAAATATAATGGATATTATGGACTGGTTTTGAGTTCTTCTAAAGCCGTAGAACATAATTATGATTTTTGTTTCTCATATAGCGCGGTTGGTTCAGTACGGTTCTAAGGTTTTGTAGTTATGTCATATTATGATGCTAATGCCTTTCACCCCGTATTAGGCTGGACGTCTATTGTACCAACATCATAGTGGAATATGTAGAATGTGAATTGTTTTCTGCAAGTATCTTTTGCAAGTGCCCAGTAAGAATAGCCTATGGGACCTTAGAATGTAGGTTTCTGTCTCTGTTTTTTGGCTGATTGATCAGAAATTGGTCTCTTTACTGAACTTTAATGCCTCTTATTTTAGGCTGCATCAATGCCCCCCCTTTTCTGTGAATGCAGTACAATAGGAATGAAAAGACCTCAGGAGCTCTTTTCTTTCCTATTGTAAGACATGGACTGAGTGGAATTCTCACACCTACCAAATTTTAAAAGATGTTGCAATCGGTGGTGTTTTGACCACATTACCACATTAACATCCCTAAACATTTCTGGTGTGCATTGCTGAAATAGCCCTTTCCTGAACATGGCCTAACCATATTGGGTGTTCATTGCTGAAATAGCCGCTTCCTGAAAAAACAAAAAGCTTTTCACCAACATTTTTGTTCTTTGCCATGATCATTTATGTGACTTGCAGGTTTGTTTGAACCACATTTTGCATTCAGGACATCACTAGGGAGTTCAATAGAGAAATAATGGATGGTTATTTGTACAGTATATAACATGTTGGTGAAAAACTTCCAAAATTTTTTCTGCTTATATTTTTCACATGTATTTTCTTCTAATGTGTGTAATTCTTGGTGATCATTGAATTTTGATCTAGTATTACCTTTTCCAAATCGCAAAGAGTTTATTTGAGCATGTGGAAAGGCTATTTAAGAACTTTTTCATGCTCCGGGACAATTGATCATAGTAGAGTAGCTGGGTTGTTCACACAATTGGTCCAGGCTGAGTGGAGAAAAGATCTGTCATATGCCACTGAGGCATTTGGTGTTCTGCTTTTGTTAACACTGATAATTGATTCTGGTTTTCCAATATGGTAAATGGTTCGCATAGCAGTCATGATGGACACTATATTGGACCCTTGGATCTTCAATCTGAAAGCAAAGATCAGGAATTTATTTTAATATTGGATCTTCTGCTATGGCATGGAGGCATGCTTTCAAATGAGTATATTTGTATGCTTCAAATGTCATTATGAAACAATGAACGAAAGAAATCATGGTTCGAATGCGGAGCTTGGACCCAAGTGACTCGGGCGAGTTCGAGTGGACTCACCTAAGTCCCTGCAATGAGCTTCTTAAAAACCCAAAGAAATTTAAAAATGGTAAAAATCCTGAAAATTGATAAAAATCAGGAAGAAAACCTAGAAATAGCGCAAAAAGTATATAAAAGGTGATAAAAAAAGTTTCCAAAAAGTAGAAAATATAGAAGGCTGGTGATCATTTTCTCAAAAAAATTCTCAAAACAAGTGTGGAACAATAGAAGAATCATTAAAAATCATAAAAGCATCAAAAGTATATAGAAAGTTAATTATAAATTAATTAGAATTGATATAGTCCAAGATTGAATCAATTATTGATATATTAATTAGTTATAAATATGTATACCCCGAGTTGTGCGTGTTTCGCACTCAACAGCCTGCTGAGTTTGAGTGACTTAGGCGAGTCCTAGTCAACTTGACTGAGTTTTCTTATTCGGCAAGAATCTGTCTATATGAAGAGAGAGAGAGAGAGAGAGATGTTTTTCGCCTTCTTGCTTTATGCAGTAGCTTAAAGATTTTATTGTGTACTTCAATATATGGAAGAAAACAATTGAGTCAATATGCATCCCCAGTGTACATGTTCTGACATGCCTTCATGTAACATGCATCCATGTATGACTGCTAATCAAGAATGCTCACTTTCATAAATGTGAACAGATGTTAATTCATGTGCATGTGCCATGCATTCTCATGCTTACACTCTCCGAAGACAAAATTGCACCAAAGGGATTTATGGCTTGCCTTGCAAGAGGACAATGAATCTTCTACATGTGTTTTATTGTCTGCTTAGATTTATTTTATTATTTATTTCTTTTTCAATTGCCACTTGAGCTATTTTGTACTTGATCTGCTCCTGTCAAGTTTTCTTGGGTAATATTTTGGTCGAACACTAACTCTGCTAAAAATAGACCCTGTGGTTTTCATGGGTGCTTCTATCGCTAGTAATATGTTTTGAGAGCTTGGGGACCTGTTCTTTGAATGGATGTCACTGGTGTGCAATTCTAGTTATTTTTTACTTGAACCATGCCTGATTCATAGCCCTACAAAATGATTTGGTGTTTGGCTAAACTGATTTTATAGTTCCATAAAGGGAGGGCATTGAAAGATGATGTGTAGCAATATCTATTCTACTACATCCATTTTTACTGATCATTGATTTAAGTTTGTTTATTGGGTTTTTGCAGGTGCAACTATGATACCTATCAGTTGGACAGAGATGCAATGCCCTCAGACCGGCCAAATCAAGCAAAGAAAAGTTGCAAAAGTTAAATGATATGGTCCCATTTGTAGCCTTCAACTTTGACCTTGTTTGTATATTTGTCGTCCAGGCTAATGCTATTTTTTCCTTTTTTAAGGTTTATTTGAGTGCTTGTTAGTTGGGATTCTGAATAAGTACATGTTTTATTTTGCTTAGCGGGAATTCATGATTTATTTTGGTTAGAGGAAATTTGAGAGTTATTACCACCATTAGTACAAAATGGCTTTGCTTTGTTCCCCTTCGGTGCTGATACTATGGGAAGAAATCCCTTCAATAATTAAGGCAATCTTTAATTCCGTTTCTCATTAGATTATCTCGTTTAGGTTGGTATTTACAAAATTCAAACCTTAAATCCTTCTTGAACGATTGAGACAAGTAGCTTTATACTAGGTAACTTGCATCACTTAATCATCATCCTCATATTTATTATCGAGAAATTTACACTTACGTTCCCTCAATGTTTGTTATTGTAAAGATTCTCTCAGTGCTTTCTGGGACTACATGCTTCGCGAGATGATTGGCTGTGGTGTGCCCTTTGATAGACTCATGTTACTACATATTGAATGTCAAACTCACTCAGCATGAGCCGCCAATTGGATAGGCGAGCATTAAGAATTGCTTTTGAGTTGCCCATTTAAGTGCTAAGTAGTGCTACTTAATATTTATATATCGGGTCTCATAATCTATGGTAGTACTACTAATGTAGTAGATTGTTTCTTCATCATTGTATTTGCCCAACATTGGCCTCATGGTCTTCTCCATGATGGAGATTTGAAGGAACATAAGGCGATCTTGGATTGGAGGGCTAAGGACCGGCACGTCAAGTGAATAATCTGTTTTCTAATCAAAGGCCTTTTGACAATCCTAGTTTCGTATAAATGGGACATCCTTCTTGAGGATACGATTAAATGGCACACATTTATTTGCAAGTTGAGAGATGAAGTGTCTGATGGCTTGAATTCTACGTTGAAGTCCCCTAAGTTGTCAGATATTGGTAGGGGATCACATATCTATAATTGCCTTTATCTTAATAAGATATGCTTTGATTACCTAGTGATTGATGATGAAACCTAGCAGCTTTACCGTATTCAATACTAAAGGCATACTTCTGGGAATTGAGCTTTAACTAATATTCTCAAAGCTTCTCGAACACTCATAAGAGATTTAGAATGTGTTTTTCTCTTGTTTTTTACTTTAAAGTATTCCATATTATCATGCGACATGCAATGGAAGATCATAGTCATGGCTCGATAAGGTGCTTTTTTCTCTTATTTTTTGAGAAACAATGACATGACTTGGTAATAGTAAATCCCTGGTGAATGCGGTCTTTTGTTAGTTTCCAATGGCCATCTTTATCTGATTGTAACCTGAGAAGCCATCCATAAAAGAATACCTCATGTTGAGACATATTCTTGACCAACATATTTGTATTTGGCAAATGAAAAATTTCTTTTGACATGCTTTATTCAAATCCCGATAGTCAACACACTCGCACACATTCTATTTCTTTGGCATGATGACCATTTTGGAAGCCATTCAGAGCAATCAATTGGTAAAATGAATCTAGCTCTTGAATAGCATATCGATTTCTTTGATTTTGAGAATGAAGTGAGGCGCTTGCTTGTACAGACGTTGCTGAACTAGTTTGGCATTGGATTAAAGGATCAAGTAGTTCTTAGCGAGGTTAAGGTCACTGTATAACCATGCTAAAGTTTCTCGGTGCTCTTTAAGAAAAGCAACGATATGCTCGTGCACATTGGAAGATAGTGAGGATTTGAACTTGGTCATCTTAGGTTCCTCGCCTGTTCATAGGTTGACATAAATTGTTTCCTCAATTGTAGCTGCATACTTCCATTCCAACCTTTGCTTAAACCTCTCCACTTAGCAAGAGTTCTTCATGATCCATCTCTCATTAGGTTCTCGCTTTCGACAACTCTCGTCAGTGGTATTAGACTCCTCTTATTAGAAAGGTTTGGTGGTTTGTGGGCCTTTATTTCTAAAAAATGTGGGTTAGGCTATCCTATATCTCTAGATTGTTTTTATTTTTTTAAAAGTTATTTTGTATTGACTTAAGATATTTGGGCTGGTTGTTGAGACTTTTTGCATGGCATAACACTATGTGCCCCACACCTACTTGTTTTTTGGATCTTGGACGAGTAGGTACCTCTCATGGTCAACCAAGGCTAGGTACCTCTCATGGCCAACCAAGGCTTCAATGGATAATAGGATGATAGTAAAAAGGGGTGTTTTGAAAAATACTTGAGAATCTACGTAGTTGTTCAAAGAGGAACTGAACATGTAGAACCCCATACTTAGTTTGGAAAATTGTTTTTCAAAACTTTCAATTGTTTGGTTGACTGAGGGGAAAGAAGGGCAGAAGTGGATGACATTGAAACCACTGAAAAAACAAGGGAAGAAGTCTTTCTCTCGTCAGGCTGAAAAGAAGTTGCCACATCAGAGAGAAAAGGTATTGAGTACCTCCAAAAACAAACAACAGGGGTTGATGATTCCCTTGGTTTATTTCCAAATAGGACCATTCACATCCTACACTCAGTGATTATGACACTCCATCTGAGTATAACGAGAGAAGGGGATGGAGATGACTGAAAGAAAGGGCAATGTGATCTTGCCGGGATTTTTTTTTTTCACCCCTTTTCTTTTCTTTAGGCAAAGATCACATATAAGTAGCTTTATTATAATAATTCTTGCTTCAAAGAAAATAAAACCTTACAAATCCAAGATCATAAAGACTTGGATGCCATTAAGACAATTTTATTTAATAAAAAAAAATTACTACAAATCTTGTTCTTGAGAATATAAAGGCTATACAATTAAATATACAAGAAACAAAATAAGAATGCCGAAGATTACCTCAATCGGGCTTATTACACCCCACATAGGGTCACCACCATCATATGGCGTGGGATTGACCATCATATGGCGAGGGATTGACGGTCTTCGTTCAATCTCAACTGCAAAAGCTAATTTCAGCCGTACTCTTCAATGGAACCCTTATACTCACACTAGATTCTTGGGATCAATCCCCCAAAATACTGAGACAAAATTTTTCTAGAGCCCCAGGTTTTTGAATAAAATTGGGAGAGATAAGAATTTTTTTCTCTAATTGTGGAGAGAGACGTGCCACCTCTATTTATATGAGGTTGAAGAAGGGAGAGAATAGAGGAGATGGGGTGTGCCCCTTTTAAGAAGATAAAGATGAGAGGGAGAGTGAATGTGGAACGTGCCCTCCTTTTGATTAAAGATGAGGGAGAGAGGGAATGGGGGTCGAGCTTCTCCCCCTTTTTTGATTAAAGATGAGAGAGAGAGGAGAGAGATATGATCGTATAATATTTGGTTTAAGGTTTTCATTGCTTGCCTCACAAGATTAAATTATACCGTCGATCAAAGATGACTTGTGGGGTGAGAAATCTGAGTCATTCATTCCATAGATGAGTCATCAACATTACGGAATGTGTTGAACCATTATCCCCCTTTCCTTTGACCATTATCCTATCAAATAAAAATTAATTAAAAAATTTTTGTGCTCTATCCAAAATATATATTCATAAGCCTTATAGGCCTACTAAAAGATTTACTCAAAACTCTTAAGGATAAAACACTTTATCAACTCAAACCAATTTGATATAAAATATATCAACAAATCCCATAAAGAGGGGGAGGTGCCACCCATGCAATAAGCCTCCCCTCAAAAGGTGGCGTGGGACTCATTGGCTCCACCTTCTACAATATGGTGGGCCCATGTGCACTATGGGCCTCCATAACTTTATATATATATTAAAAATGTAAAATAAATTTTAGAATATTATTTGAATATTTAAATCATTAAAAATTAATATCTTTACTTATATAAACCCAAATGTTATAAATAAAATATCCAAGGGTTTATAAAAATTCAAATAAAAATTTTAAAATAATATCTACCATAAAAGAAACATAATTAAATTAATTTGATGGAAAAATGATCCATATAGTCAAGGAACGAAATCAATAATGGGGCACTCCACCTTCAACTGTAGACTACAGACCATGTTTGCTTTATCATACCGACCCAACGTTGCCCATGATCCAATCCAAGCAGGGGCTCATTTGCAGGTCACCAAAGTCTGGTCGATGAGCCAAGGGGTCGCAATCTCAATCTGTGGATTTTTGGTTATCCTCTATAGACGAGTCAAGGTTACCTAGACTTGATGCGACCACAGCTGGATGTCTCGCACATGCATATGCTTCACCCTAAAAGGTGGCTTACTAGCTTTTCCCTAATGGTTTATCAATATGTATTTCGTGTGATGGTACATGGATGAGGCTTTGGCCCCCGTCTCTGTAGGCCACCATCACACACAAGTTGGTCATATAGTCTCTCGGCTCACTCATCCGAGCATACTTCGATCTCATCAAAGGATGATCCATTAGAACATTTATCGGTTTATTCTTTTTGCCCAAGCAACATGGATTTTTTTCCAACCGAATGGCCTAGACTGTTAAGCACAATCTGGTATCTGTAAACATCGTTTGCATGATATAATCCACGAGGGACCACACTCACACTGAGTTCATGATCTACTATATCAAATGTCATCTCACAATCACTCATAAGGCCTTTAAAAGATACATAAACCCAACATCTCTCACTTGGCCTTTGAATGCCATACACTCTCTCTTTCTCACTTTCTCACTTTCTCTCATCTCCATTTGTCTCTCCCAATTACAATCTCTCTCAATACGTGATTCATGACTTTTACCATCAATCTTTTCACAAAAAGAATCATAGAGGTAATGGCTCTTTCTCTTTGCTTCTCAGATCTCATTCTGAAAGTGGTGGTAGTCCATCTTTCATATCGCATCGCAAATCATGGGCCTGTTGTCACATAAAATCATCACCTATCCTCATCACATGGGCTCAAAGGAGTTCTTCAAACAAGCCATTTCTTTCAATGGCCATACAACCAGTGCCACACTTCTAGGTTCCATGGGTAAATAACACCATAGTCAGTTGTTCTAGCTGGCCTGTCAAACACTAGGTGCTCCCACTGAAATATTTAGTTTTATATGCTTGGAGTTATTATAGAATCGTAGCTCCCTTTTACATGCAAATCGCTGCCGTGTTATCGTAGAAAATCCTTACTGCATCACAATGCATGGGTTGAAAATCAAATCGATTAAGAAATTTCTTAATCCTTACGGACTCCATGGCCGCCAAATAGCACGCCACGTATTCT